AAAAGAGAATTTTCATCTTCAAAACATTATCAATGCTGGGCCTTTAAGTAAAATTCCGCAAAATTTTTTCTTAAAGGTTAATAAGTTTTGGATAGATTATAATAATGATGGAAGTATATCACAATTTTTTTCAGATATATTAGTGTATGACAACTTGGGGAATAAATTATATGATAAAACAATATCTGTAAATAATCCTCTAATATATAAGAATATTACCTTTTATCAAACTGATTGGAATTTACAAGCTATTAGATTAGATATTAACAATATGTATTTAGAATTACCTTTGATTGAAGTATTAAGAAATAACAATAAAATTTGGATTAGTCAAATTCAATTAGATAATAAAAATTTTTATTTAGTAGTTGAAAAATTAGATGATGTTATTTACCTTTATGATGAAAATAAAGATTTAATAAATAGATTAAAAATTAATGAAGACAAAAAAATTATTTTAGAAAATATTAACGATAATATTACTTTAAAAGTAAAAAAAATTATTCCTAGCACGGGTATACAAATAAAATCTGATCCTGGCTTACCTATAGTATATTTAGGTTTTTTCCTATTAATGACTAGTACAGTTTTTAGCTATTTTTCATTTAACCAAATTTGGTTATTAATAAATAATAAAAACAGTATTTACTTAACAGGACAAACAAATAGAGCTAAAATTAGTTTTAAACAATATTTATTGAAAATTACAAAAAAAATGTAGAAAATTCTTAATTATTTTTTTACCACTAACAGTTAAAATACTTTCAGGGTGAAATTGAATACCATAAACATTCTTATATATAGAATGATTAAGTCCCATAATAATATGGTCATCGCTCCAAGCATTTACACATAAAGAATTAGGTAAGTTGTTATTATCTACAATGAGACTATGATAACGAGTTGCAATTAGTGGATTCTCTATATTGGTAAAAAGATTATTCTCATTATGATAAACAGGTGATGTTTTACCATGCTTTAATAATGGAGCAGAGATAATTTTAGCACCATAAGCATAAGCAATACTCTGATGCCCAAGACAAATTCCTAAAATAGGTAATTTAGGAGCAAAATATTGAATTAGTCTAATACATTGTTCAGAATCTTCTGGTCTGCCTGGACCTGGTGAAATAACTATCCCCTTAATATTGATATTATCTAACTCTGAAATAATAATTTCATCATTTTTCTTTATTCTTATATCAAATCCTTGTTCGCCGATGTATTGTACTAAATTATAAGTGAAGCTATCATAATTATCTATTATTAGTATTGTCATGAAATTTTATTATAATTACATTATTATTAATTATTATTAGTAAAGATACCTTCATATGGAGAACTATTGACACCATATTTTGTTGATCCTATTAAACCTGATAAATAAGCTATTCTTCCACTTTTAATAGCTAAATTCATTGCTAAGGCCATTTGAGGAGGATTTTTGGCTTTTGCTATAGCTGTATTTGTTAATATCGCTGCTGCTCCTAATTCCATAGCTTTAGCCGCTTCGCTTGGTGATCCTATTCCTGCATCTATTATGACAGGTATTTTAGCATTTTCTATAATAATTTGAATGTTGGAAATATTTCGTAAACCCTGTCCAGAACCTATGGGCGATCCTAAGGGCATTATAGTAGCACATCCAATTGATTCTAGTTGTTTTGCTAGGATTGGATCTGCATTAATATAAGGTAATACTGTAAATCCTTTATTTACTAATACTTCTGCTGCTTTTAGTGTTCCTATAGGATCAGGTAAAAGATATTTTGAGTCAGGAATTACCTCAAGTTTAACAAAATTATTATTTTCTTGACCGATGGTTTTAGCTATTTCTCTTCCTAAATTAGCTATTCTAATAGCTTCATCTGCGGTTTTACAGCCTGCTGTATTTGGTAGTAACCATAAATTTTTCCAATTTAAACGCTTTAAAAGAATATTAAGTCCTGAAACTTGGTTATTTTGTGCTCTTCTAATTGCTATAGTAATTATATTACAATTACTATATATTATACTTTGTATTGCTTCTTCTATGTTTCTATATTTGCCAGTACCTACTAATAATCGAGATTTGAAAGAATAATTGTTAATAATTAAATTATCATTATTTATTTGTGAGCTAATTACATACTTATCATTAAGAGATACCATACATTTTATATGATATATATTATATTAATTATGTTATATAATAAAAAATATTATTAAATTTTATGGCTAGAGTAATTGTTATTACTTCCGGTAAAGGTGGAGTGGGAAAAACAACAACGACTGCTAATTTAGGAATGTGTCTTGCCAAATTAGGTTATGAAACTATTTTAATTGACGCTGATACAGGTCTACGAAATTTAGATTTGTTATTGGGATTAGAAAATAGAGTCATTTATACAGCTTTAGAAGTTGTTTCAGGAGAATGTAGATTAGAACAAGCTTTAATTAAAGATAAACATTATAATAGATTGAGTTTATTATCTACTTCACAAAATCATACTAAAAATGATATAAGTGAAGATAGTATTTGTTTTCTCATTAATCTTCTTCATAAGAAAGCGGATTATATATTAATAGATTCGCCGGCTGGAATAGAAAAAGGCTTTTACCGTGCTATTAGTTCAGCTAAAGAAGCTTTGGTCATTACCACCCCTGAAATTACTTCAGTCAGAGACGCTGATAGAGTTATCGGATTACTTCAATCTCATAATATTAATAATATTAGTTTAATTATTAATCGTATTCGTCATAAAATGATTAGGCAAAATGAAATGATGTCTGTGCAAGATGTAACGGAAGTATTAGCAATTCCATTAGTTGGTGTTATTCCAGAAGATGAAAAAGTTATTATTTCTACTAATAAAGGTGAACCCATTGTTTTAGAAGAACATTTCTCAGTGTCAAGTTTAGCTTTTGAAGATATTGCCAGAAGATTAAATGGACAAGACATTGGTTTTAAGAATTTAGATTATTTTTATCCTACACATCTTGAGTTCTTAAAAAAAATTTTTTTTAAGTCCTTTTAATAATTATAATTTATAAATTTTACTCTTATATTAAATAGCAAAGTATTATAATAATTATTATTTATATATAATAAGTAAGTATATTGTATGTTTACTAAATTTTTTATAAAATTGTTAAAAAAAGATTATGAAGAAAGTCGTTATAATGTAAAAAAAAGACTTAAATCTATTTTAGCTCATGATAGGTTAGCAATAAATTCTAATATCTTAGAAAAAATGCATATGGAGATTTTAAATGTAGTATCAAAATATGTTGAACTTGATCCTAAAAAAATTGAATTTTCTGTTGAAACAGATAATAAAATTAAAACGATATCTTTAATAGCTAATATCTCTATTAAAAGAATCATTTATCTTGACAAAGTTTAAATAATATTATATTATAATTAAATTATGTTTTTTCATATATAATATATACTTAATATACAATAATAATAATAAATAATTTTATAATAAATTAATCATATGGATAATCATATGGATAACAATAATACTAAAAAGAAAAAAAAAGTGCACGTAGGTCGTAGTAGAATATTTTGGCCCAGAGATCATAAACTGCGACAAGAAGATATAGAACAAGCTGAAGCTAATACGAACATTAAAGGTCGTCAGTTCATTAATGTAACACAAGATATGATGGAAGCTGTTATCAAAGAACAGTCTAAACTCAATCATCCTTTATTGAGAGATCCTGAGCTAATAATGGAGCCATTAATGCCCGCTTCTTATACTTTGATATCTTTTTCTATAGTGGCAGTTGTTAGCTCAACTATAAGTTACACACTACAAACTATACGTAAACGTTTTTCTAAAAAGGGCAAGAAAATTATTTTTATTGTACCTATTAGAATTCGTATTATGATTTTATATATTTATTTTCTTTTATTTTTAGAAATTAATGCATCATTTATGGAAATTTTATGTTTTAACATACTTAATAAAGATTTATATTTATTTTTTATGTTTAATTTGCTCAAGATTTATACTGAATTTCCATATTTTACAATGGGACTTTTAACGTTCTTAAACATATTTTTTGTAGTTAGAAAAAAGGTTTTATTACTTAATATTTTTCGTTTTCATATTATGAATGCTTTATTAATTGGATTATTACATACTTTAATAATGCAGTTCTATTTGAGATTGCCTGAACAATTTTTACAGGGATTTGGAGGAAAAACTCTTGGTTTACTTATATATTTTTTTATGATGTCTTTATTAGGACGTTGTTTTTTAGCTGCAATTAGGGGCAAATATACAAAAATTCCTTTTATTTCTACAGCAGCAAGAAAATATATTACAGATCAAGCTCGTGGAATTTTAAGACAATGGGAAGAGGAAAGAAGAGCTATGGAATATCAAAAAAAATTAAAAGATAAAGATAAACAAGATACAAACTAATATATAAACATATTATATAATTAATATAAATTAAATCCTATGAATATAAAACAGCAACAGAGAAGAAAGTTTAATGATTATGAAACTGTTTATTTAATTAAACCTGATTTAAATGAAATTCAATTCTTGAATTTAGTCCAGTATTTACAACAATTATTAATAAATAATAAAGCACAAAATGTTGTAAGTAAAAGTAAAGGAAAAATTAAATTGTCATATACTATTAATAATTACAATGAAGCTACTTTTATTGAAACTAGCTTCATTGCTAATGGTAAGGTCATAGAAGTATTTGAAAAATATTTAAAAGAAAATGAAAATATTTTACGATATATTAGTTTCAAAAAGAAATTTTTTTATAAAGAATAAAACCTTGGTGCTGAGCTATTTTTCCAAAGGGCTTCCCCTTTAGTATCGTTGCCGCTGTAGCGTTTCACAGCCGAGTTCGGAATGGAGTCAGAGTGGTTCCACTACGCTATGAGCACCAAGGTATAATTTTATTTTTTTATTTTATGCTATAAATTCCATATTGTTTCTAGTTCAAGTCATAAGTAATAAGTAAAATGAATAAATGATTCAAACCCTCGGTCTATTAGTACATTTCAGCTTAATGTATTACTACACTTACACTTAATGCCTATTTAACGGCTAGTCTTGCCGTGACCTTACCCGTTTATAACGGTGAGAGTACTCATCTTGAGGTGGGCTTCCCACTTAGATGCTGTCAGCGGTTATCCCTTCTGTACTTAGCTACCCAGCGTTTACCATTGGCACGATAACTGGTACACCAGCGGTACATCTCTCCCGGTCCTCTCGTACTAAGGAGAGCTCCTCTCAATACTCTAACGCCTACACCGGATATGGACCGAACTGTCTCACGACGTTCTGAACCCAGCTCACGTACCGCTTTAATGGGCGAACAGCCCAACCCTTGGAACGTACTACCGCTCCAGGATGCGATGAGCCGACATCGAGGTGCCAAACCTCCCCGTCGATGTGGACTCTTGGGGGAGATCAGCCTGTTATCCCTAGAGTAACTTTTATCCGTTGAGCGACGGCTCTTCCACTCAAAACCGCCGGATCACTAAGGCCGACTTTCGTCTCTGCTCGACTTGTTTGTCTCGCAGTTAAGCTTCCTTATGCCTTTACACTCTTCAACTGATTTCTGACCAGTTTGAGGAAACCTTTGCACGCCTCCGTTACTTTTTAGGAGGCGACCGCCCCAGTCAAACTGCCCACCTGAAACTGTTTTTTATCCGGATTACGGATCAAAATTAGAATTCTAGTTTTACTAGGGTGGTATCTCACTGCCGACTCCAATCTCTCCAGAGAAAGATTTTCTTAGTCTCCCACCTATTCTGCGCAAGCAAAACCCGAATTCAATTTCAGGCTACAGTAAAGCTTCATAGGGTCTTTCTGTCCAGGTGCAGGTAGTCCGCATCTTCACAGACAATTCTATTTCGCCGAGTCTCTCTCTGAGACAGTGCCCAAGTCGTTACGCCTTTCGTGCGGGTCGGAACTTACCCGACAAGGAATTTCGCTACCTTAGGACCGTTATAGTTACGGCCGCCGTTCACCGGGGCTTCAGTTGCTAGCTTTGCCATTAAAGCTAACCAGCTTCTTTAACCTTCCGGCACTGGGCAGGCGTCAGCCCCCATACATCGTCTTACGACTTAGCGGAGACCTGTGTTTTTGGTAAACAGTCGCTTGGGCCTGGATCTTGCAGCCCTTATTTAGGGCACCCCTTTTCCCGAAGTTACGGGGCCATTTTGCCGAGTTCCTTAGAGAGAGTTATCTCGCGCCCCTTGGTATACTCTACCAACCCACCTGTGTCAGTTTACGGTACAGGCACTTATTATGTAAGATATTACGGGCTTTTCTTGGAAACTTGGCCTCAACTACTTTGGTATTTTCATACCTTGTATTCACATCTTAGCTCAAAGTGTTTTCAACCACTTCTCACAGCCTCGAATGCTTAAACCGGTAACCAACATCCGGCTAGCCTAGCCTTTTTCGTCCCCCGATATCCATAATAAGTGGTACAGGAATATTAACCTGTTGTCCATCGACTACGCTTTTCAGCCTCACCTTAGGTCCTGACTAACCCTCTGCGGACGAACCTTCCAGAGGAATCCTTGGGTTTTCAGGGCATTGGATTCTCACCAATGTTTTCGCTACTCAAGCCGGCATTCTCACTTCTGCTTTGTCCACGTCCGTTTACACTAACGCTTCAACCTAAAGCAAAACGCTCCCCTACCGATGTTTAGAAACATCTCACATTTTCGGCAAATTACTTAGTCCCATTAATTTTCGATGCAGGATCACTTGACCAGTGAGCTATTACGCACTCTTTAAAGGATTGCTGCTTCTAAGCAAACCTCCTGGTTGTCTTTGTGTTCCCACTTTCTTTTCCACTTAGTAATTATTTAGGGGCCTTAAATGGTGATCTGGGCTGTTTCCCTCTTGACTATGGAGCTTATCCCCCATAGTCTCACTGGTTGATTTCACATCTAGCATTCAGAGTTTGCCTCAATTTGGTACTATTTTCATAGCCCTCAGTGAAACAGTGCTTTACCTCTAGATTATAGCATCAACCGCTGCGCCTCAACGCATTTCGGGGAGAACCAGCTAGCTCCGGGTTCGATTGGCATTTCACCTCTAGCCACAACTCATCCGCTGATTTTTCAACATCAGTCGGTTCGGACCTCCACTTAGTGTTACCTAAGCTTCATCCTGGTCATGGCTAGATCACCCGGGTTCGGGTCTGTAAACAATGACATATGCCTTATTCAGGCTCGCTTTCACTCTGGCTTCGTTATTCTCTAACTTAACCTGCCATTGCCTACAAGTCGCCGGCTCATTCTTCAACAGGCACGAGGTTAAACGTTTTAGTCGTTCTTCCTCTGCTTGTAAGCTTAGGGTTTCATGTTCTATTTCACTCCCCTCCCGGGGTTCTTTTCACCTTTCCCTCACGGTACTATTTCACTATCGGTCATCCAGGAATATTTAGCCTTACGAGGTGGTCCTCGCAGATTCACACCGAATTTCACGTGTTCGATGCTACTCGGGATACAACTCTTAACAAACTAGATTTTCGATTACAGGATTTTCACCTTCTTTGATATATTATTCCAAATATTTCATCTAATCTAGTTAATTTAGTTTATGTTGTCCCTCAACCCTGTTTAAATAAATTAAACAGTTTAGGCTGTTCCCTTTTCGCTCGCCGCTACTAGGGGAATCGCTTTTGCTTTCTTTTCCTTTAGTTACTAAGATGTTTCAGTTCACTAAGTTCGCTCTTATCTACCTATATATTCAGTAGACAGTATAAAGAGTTGCCTCATTCGGGAACCTCCGGATCAAAGCTTGCTTCCAGCTCCCCGAAGCATTTCGTTGGTAGCCACGCCCTTCATCGCTTCTGGATGCCAAGGTATCCACCCTAAGCTCTTATTCATTTGAATCATTTATTTTTGTACTTATCTTATTTTCTCTTTGGCTGGAGGTAAGCGGATTCGAACCGCTGACATCTGCCTTGCAAAAGCAGCGCTCTACCAACTAAGCTATACCCCCTTTGGGTTATCCTGGATTTGAACCAGGGACCTCACCCTTATCAGGGGTGTGCTCTAACCAACTGAGCTAATAACCCTTATCTGAATCAAAAGTTTTTCTCTTTAAAGGAGGTAATCCAGCCGCACCTTCCAGTACGGCTACCTTGTTACGACTTCACCCCAGTCACTAGCCCTGCCTTAAGCATCCTCCTCCATTAAGGTTAGAGTAATGATTTCGGACATGGCCAGCTCCCATGGTGTGACGGGCGGTGTGTACAAGACCCGGGAACGTATTCACCGCTGTGTAGCTGACCAGCGATTACTAGCGATTCCGTCTTCATGTAGGCGAGTTGCAGCCTACAATCCGTACTGAGATTAGGTTTATAAGATTAGCTAGTTCTCACGAATTTGCGACTTATTGTCCTAACCATTGTAGCACGTGTGTAGCCCAGGACATAAGGGGCATGATGACTTGACCTCATCCTTACCTTCCTCCGGTTTATCACCGGCAGTCTCTTTAAAGTCCCCAACTTAATGATGGTAACTAAAGACAAGGGTTGCGCTCGTTGCGGGACTTAACCCAACATCTCACGACACGAGCTGACGACAGCCATGCACCACCTGTGTTTACTTTCCCAAAGGCACTTTCCTCTTTCAAGAAAATTAGTAACATGTCAAGTCCTGGTAAGGTTCTTCGCGTTGCATCGAATTAAACCACATGCTCCACCGCTTGTGCGGGTCCCCGTCAATTCCTTTGAGTTTCACTCTTGCGAGCGTACTTCCCAGGCGGGATACTTAACGCGTTAGCTTCGATACTGCACAATTTGACTCACACAACATCTAGTATCCATAGTTTACGGCTAGGACTACTGGGGTATCTAATCCCATTTGCTCCCCTAGCTTTCGTCTCTGAGTGTCAGTAATGGCCCAGCAGAGCGCCTTCGCTATCGGTATTCTTCTCAATATCTACGCATTTCACCGCTACACTGAGAATTCTCTCTGCCCCTACCATTCTCTAGTCTATCAGTTTCCACTGCTTTTTTGAGGTTAAGCCTCAAGCTTTAACAGCAGACTTGATAAACCACCTACAGACGCTTTACGCCCAGTGATTCCGGATAACGCTTGCATCCTCCGTATTACCGCGGCTGCTGGCACGGAGTTAGCCGATGCTTATTCTTCAGGTACCGTCAAAGTTTCTTTCCTGAAAAAAGAGGTTTACAACCCACAGGCCTTCATCCCTCACACGGTATTGCTCCATCAGGCTTTCGCCCATTGTGGAAAATTCCCCACTGCTGCCTCCCGTAGGAGTCTGGACCGTATCTCAGTTCCAGTGTGGCTGATCATCCTCTAAGACCAGCTACTGATCGTCGCCTTGGTAAGCCATTACCCTACCAACTAGCTAATCAGCCGCGAGCTCATCTCCAGGCAGATAAATCTTTTTCACCAATAATGGCATATGGGGTTTTAGCAATCGTTTCCAACTGTTATCCCCCTCCTAGAGGTAGATTCTCACGTGTTACTCACCCGTCCGCCACTAGAATAAAATTCTCGTACGACTTGCATGTGTTAGGCATACCGCCAGCGTTAATCCTGAGCCAGGATCAAACTCTCCATTATGTTTCAATACTATTTAATAATTTGTTCTTTTTCCTCTTGATTCAGATAAGATCTTTGTTTTTATTTAAAGACCTATAATAATATATTATAGATCTTTTATTATTTGTCAAGTGCTAATTTAATAAATTTTACTATAAAATAGTATTATATAATCTTAATCTTTCATTCTATCTGTTTTTTTTTATAGAATTAAATTTTTGTATTTATTATGAATTCTTTTTACATAAAAAAAATAAAATTGTCTTCTATTGTTTATAATCATAATTATAAATTTTATCCAGTATTATCAATGGACAATCTTCGACGTAAAGAAAAAATTCTAATTGCAGATGATGAATCAAGTATTAGACGTATACTAGAAACACGTTTATCTATAATTGGATATGAAGTACTAACTGCACCTGATGGCGAATCTGCTTTATTTTTATTTCATAAAGAACATCCAAATCTTGTAGTTTTAGATGTTATGATGCCTAAGATAGATGGATACGGAGTTTGTCAAGAAATTCGTAAAGAATCTGATATACCAATAATTATGTTAACAGCACTTGGGGATGTAACTGACCGAATTACTGGTTTAGAATTAGGAGCAGATGATTATGTAATTAAACCTTTTTCACCTAAAGAATTAGAAGCTCGTATTAGATGTGTATTAAGACGAGTTGATAAATTTTACTTTTCTAATACACTTACTAATTCAGGAATATTTAATATCGGTTTTTTAAAAATCGATATTAATCGTAAACAGGTCTATAAAAATGAAGAAAGAATACGATTAACAGGTATGGAATTTAATTTGCTCGAATTATTAATTAGTAATTCGGGAGAACCATTATCTAGGACAACTATTTTAGAAGAAGTTTGGGGATACACTCCTGAAAGACATTTAGATACTAGAGTTGTAGATGTACACATCTCAAGACTTAGAGCAAAATTAGAAGATGACCCTAGTAATCCTGAATTAATTTTAACCTCTAGAGGCACGGGATATTTATTCCAACGTATAATAGAAATTAATAAGAATTATAACCCAGTTATTCAATTACAGAGGATTTAAATTTTTAATTTAAATTAACAAACTTACTGAAGTTAAAAATTTTTATTTTTGAAATTATAATAAATTATGTATGAACTATTAAATTCTTAAGAAAAGTAAAACTTTTTATTATTTTTTAATATTTATTATTAAACAATTTACATCTAATTTTGGTTAATTATATTTTTTTAGATCTTAAATAGACAATTTAGATTAATTATATTATATATAAAGGATACTTAAATAAAGTTTTGGGAGAATATTTATGACTATAGCTATAGAAAGAAATGTACAAAGAGGTTGGTTCGACTTAGTTGATGATTGGTTAAAACGCGATCGTTTTGTCTTTATTGGATGGTCAGGTTTGCTACTTTTCCCCTGCTCATATCTAGCCTTAGGTGCTTGGTTTACAGGTACGACTTTTGTTACTTCTTGGTATACCCATGGTTTAGCTTCTTCTTATTTAGAAGGATGTAATTTTTTAACTGCTGCAGTATCAAGCCCTGCTAACAGTATGGGACACTCATTATTATTTTTATGGGGGCCAGAAGCTCAAGGTGATTTTACTAGATGGTGTCAAATTGGTGGTTTATGGACATTTACAGCTTTACATGGGGCTTTTGGTCTAATAGGCTTTTGTTTACGCCAATTTGAAATAGCAAGATTAGTAGGAATTAGGCCATATAATGCAATAGCTTTTTCAGGACCAATTGCAGTTTTTGTTTCAGTATTTCTTATTTATCCACTTGGACAGGCTAGTTGGTTTTTTGCTCCTAGTTTTGGAGTCGCAGCTATCTTTCGATTTATTTTATTTTTGCAAGGTTTTCATAACTGGACTTTAAATCCATTTCATATGATGGGTGTTGCTGGAATACTCGGAGGAGCATTACTCTGTGCTATTCATGGAGCTACTGTAGAGAATACATTATTTGAAGATGGCGAAGCTGCTAATACTTTCAGAGCATTTACACCAACCCAATCAGAAGAAACTTATTCAATGGTTACAGCTAATCGTTTTTGGTCACAAATTTTTGGTGTTGCATTTTCTAACAAAAGATGGCTACATTTCTTTATGCTGTTTGTACCAGTTACTGGATTATGGACAAGCTCTATTGGTATCATAGGACTTGCATTAAATTTACGTGCGTATGATTTTGTTTCTCAAGAATTACGTGCAGCAGAGGATCCAGAATTTGAAACTTTTTATACTAAAAATTTACTTCTCAATGAAGGCATAAGAGCATGGATGGCAACACAAGATCAACCACATGAAAATTTTGTATTCCCAGAGGAGGTTTTACCACGTGGAAATGCCCTTTAATAATCGCATTGAATTAGCCGGTAGAAGTATTGAATCCACAGGTTATGCCTGGTGGGCAGGTAATGCTCGTTTAATAAATGTATCTGGTAAATTATTAGGCGCTCATGTAGCGCATGCAGGTCTAATCGTTTTTTGGACAGGTGCGATGACTTTATTTGAAGTTGCACATTTTTTACCAGAAAAACCATTATATGAACAAGGTTGTATTTTATTACCTCATTTAGCTACATTAGGTTGGGGTGTAGGACCTACTGGCGAAATTATTAATACTTATCCTTATTTTGTGATAGGAGTTTTACATTTAGTTTCTTCAGCAGTATTAGGATTTGGAGGACTTTACCATTCTCTTCTGGGTCCAGAAATACTAGAAGAATCATATCCATTTTTTGGATATGACTGGAGAGATAAAAATAAGATGACAACTATTTTAGGTATTCATTTAATTTTATTAGGTATTGGAGCTTTTTTACTAGTTATAAAAGCTATGTTTTTTGGTGGAGTTTATGATACATGGGCCCCTGGTGGAGGAGATGTACGTTACATTAATAATCCAACCCTAAACCCATTAGTAATTTTTGGCTATCTTTTAAAATCCCCATTTGGAGGAGATGGATGGATTATAAGTGTAAATAATATGGAGGACTTAATTGGTGGGCATATTTGGATTGGTTTAATTTGTATTGGCGGAGGTATATGGCATATTTTAACTAAGCCTTTTGGATGGGCGAGAAGAGCTTTTGTATGGTCAGGTGAAGCTTATTTATCATATAGTTTAGCTGCATTATCATTAATGGGTTTTATAGCATGTATTTATGCGTGGTATAATAATACAGCTTACCCAAGTGAATTTTATGGCCCTACTGGACCGGAAGCATCTCAAGCTCAAGCTTTTACATTTTTAGTTAGAGATCAGCGTTTAGGAGAAAATGTAGCTTCAGCTCAAGGGCCAACTGGTCTTGGAAAATACTTAATGAGATCTCCAAGCGGAGAGGTTATTTTTGGTGGAGAAACTATGAGGTTTTGGGATTTAAGAGCTCCTTGGTTAGAACCTTTAAGAGGTCCAAATGGATTAGATCTAAATAAAATTAAAAATGATATTCAGCCATGGCAAGAAAGGAGAGCAGCTGAATATATGACTCATGCACCATTAGGATCAATTAATTCAGTGGGTGGTGTAGCAACTGAGATTAATTCGTTTAATTATGTATCTCCACGCTCATGGTTAACAACTTCACATTTTGTTTTAGGATTTTTTTTATTTGTTGCACATTTATGGCATGCAGGAAGAGCAAGAGCTGCTGCTGCGGGATTTGAAAAAGGGATTAATAGAGAAAATGAACCAGTGCTTTCAATGAAATTAATAGATTAAAAAAAATATCTTGCTCTATAGCTATCTATATAGCTATAGAGCAAGATATTTTTTTTTAGACAAGTCCTAAGAAATGCAGGACACCTTTTCCTGTTAAAAGCTCAGTTACTAAAGCTGATATAAATCCAATCATAGCTAGTCTTCCATTCCAATTTTCTGCTCCTGTAGTAAATCCCCAACTCCATGTATTACGATCTTTATTTTGCATGACTTAATTCCTTTATTTGATTTTTAATTTAAAATAAATAAAATTCACTATTATTATTATAACATAAATTTTATAAATTTCAATATTAGTTTCGATGTAAAAAATAAAATTAGTTATAATTAATTAGACAAATTTTAATCTTCTATATTATAATGTTAATATAAATAATTTTTATCTATAATATAATCAGATAGTAACTATGTTAACGTTTATATTGTTTATTATACTTAAAATTATTCTTGGTGTTATTACAGAATTTTGTAGAATATATTTATTTGCTCTATCAATTAGAGTGTTTCTAGCATGGATAGTTACTATTAATTGGTATACACAGCCTTATATTGTTTTAAAAAAATTAACAGATCCCTATTTGAATTTATTTAGAGGTACTATACCATTAATTTTAGGTATGGATTTTTCCAGTATGTTAGGCTTTCTATTTTTAGAATGTGTAATACAATTACTAGAAAGTATTTATATTGAAATAATATATTAAAATTATAAATAATATAAAAATATGTTAAAAATCAGATTAAAAAGATGTGGAAGAAAAAAACAAACAAGTTTTAAAATAGTCGTTATGAATAATCTTGATAAAAGAGATGGTCAAGCCGTCGAAGAATTAGGGTTTATAAATCCACGAACTAAAGAAAAGTACCTAAATATAAATAAAATTAATTACTATTTAAACTTTGGTGCAAAACCTACTAAAACGGTATTTAATATATTAAATAAAGCTAAAATCTTATAAAATAAGAAATAAATATATGTTAATGTACAGAAATAATAGTTCTGATAATTTGGATATACTACTCTTTACTATGGAATGTTTGGAAAATTCTATCTTATCTAAAATTATTAACTTTGTTAATATAAATGATTATCCTAAACAATATATAAATGACCTTATTGAATTTAAAATGAATAGTTCACTAAAAATCAGTAAATCAACTAATAAGTATAATATAAATAAATTCAATCAGATATTTAATATTTATGAGATAATTAACCTTTACATTAAGCAAAACCATATTAAATATATTATTTTTAAATTACTATACAT